CGACGATGTGCTCAAATTTGGGATCCAACGAACGGAGTATCTTCTCTATTATCCTCACATCGTCTAACTTTTCACCATTTCTTTTTAATTGATTAGAAACAGCTACTACTCTTGAGAAATAATCTGAAATAGACTCAGATGCTTTCATGTTTAAGGATTCGAATTCACCTCTTAATGTTTGGAGACGAACCTTCTTCACTTGCTCGGATCCTTTGTAAGAGGTTTGCAGCTTCTCCCACGCTTCCTTGCTAGAGCTTGCACTTGAAATCTTTTCAAAACCATCATCATCTAATGCTTGATAGATGAGGTAGAGAGCCTTCTTGTCTCTCTTTCTTAAATCCTTCAAAGTTGTCTTTTGATCTGGTGTAAGAGTAGCAAAAGCATCATCATCCGCAGGCTCGTTATAGCCTTTCTCTATGATATCCCACACATCTTGTGATCCAAGAAGTGCCTTCATTTTGATACTCCAATTGTCGTAGTTGCTGTTGTTGAGTGTCGGAACTTGGAATGGTGCCATACCATTTGCCATATCTCTCAATATAATGAGATTTTGTAAAATCCGATTGCACGGATGAATCCGGAACGATGAAAAAAAAACTTTGGAGGGACTTGGACAACTCGGTCAAGGGCTCCAACTCGGCTGACTCGGCTCAACTCGGTGAGTCAACTCGATTTTCTGGCAGCAGTCTTCCGGCGGTGCGTGGCGGTGCGTCAGAACTCAGATTGAGAAAATTCTGGCGGCGTCGTATTCCTCTCGTCGAGACCTTCGATCTTTCCAACTCGCTCTGATGCCACTTTGTTGTAAATAAAACACTCACACAAACAACTTTTATTGAAACTCAAACAAATATTACAAGAGTACTCTCACTCAAAAACAAGAACTACAACTCACTCTTATAAGACTTTGCTTCTTCACTCACTTAGAAGCTCTTAATTTTTCTTGATGCTTAAAACTAAAATGGGAAGGGGTATTTATACTACTCAAGAACAATCCTACACCACACAAATAAACTAATTTAAACCATTACAAATTCAACAAATATCTAACTCTCACCTAACTAAATTGATGTAAGCAATGACATCATTAATTAAATGATGTAAGCAATGACATCTTTAATTAAATGATGTAAGTAATGACATCAATTTAGTTTGGGTTTGGGTTTAGGCTCCCATAATGGATCAAGTTTATGATCCAACACATTTCTCCAAACACGTCGGCAACCGCATTGCTTCAAAAAGCTGCTCAAATGGGTTCAACTACAAGCAACAACACTTCCTCAATGCTAAGGGGAATAGGGAGTTCATCGTCGAGCGGGGTGAAATCCGATATACAAGTTTTCACCGCTAACTTCGGCGGCGGTGAAGGAGGAGGAGGAGGAGAAACAGTGAGATCACAGATGGAGAACGACAACAACAATCTTCAAGGACTACTGAACTCTCTTGCCAAGGGAAACTCCTCCATTTTCGGTGCCATTCATGGACAAGATCAAAGCAGCTTCGTCGGAGAATTCACCAGAAGCGAGATGCAGGTCGAACATCATGGCAACAACACCAACTTCTCCAACGTTGATGAAGCTAATAAGTTCGCGGCAAGCATTGGCGGGACTCACAAATTAACATTGGATTTTCTTGGTGTCGGAGAAATTGTGAGAAACATCAGCGGCGCCAGTCAACATGGGATCAATATCGGCTCTTTGAACCCAGACATGAAGTCATCGGCTCTGCAATTTGGTGGTGCAAAGCTTGTCTAAGAGGGCAAGTAAAGCTTTTGTAGGGTTAATAAGTAGCGGGAAAAACGATAAACTTATGCTCTATTTCTTCTTGGAATTGAACTTCATGAATTAGGGTTTCCATTTCTAAAGCTAAAAGTGTTTTAAGGGTTAATTTGGCTGATTTTTGCCATGAAACAAAGATGGTAAGAATTTTTTTAATGCTTCAATATCCATATTCGGACAACCTTTTAACCCCGACACCAAAACTATCTTCTTTACTTTACGTAACTGGAAACTGTAAATTTCTCCCATTCCAAAGCTACCATTTTGAAGGTAGTACGTAATCATTTAATTACTTGGAAATTTCGTGGTCTTTTCATTTTGGTCCCTGAAATTTAGAATGACTTTCATTACAAGTGTACTTGTTTTGAAGAAATAAATTATAATAAAATATTATCATTTTTAATATTTATTTTAAAAAATAGTCAATGAAACATGACTTAGTAAATCAACGAAAATGATATTACTTTTCTGATGAAATTCAAAAGCTCAATATAATCAGTTTAATAAAATCATTTACATAGTTTAACAGCATTACGTTTTTTCTAATGAAAAAAATGACAAAATAATGAAGTTTAAATGTAGTAAAAAAATTAAAAATAAAATATTCTTATATTTTTAATTATTTTAAATTAAATTTTAAGTGAAAATTACACATCGAACAGAAACGAATAACCTGTCCCATTTATTTTTCTTTTGGATAAAATAGTAAAAACAATTAAGAATTAGGTCAACATATCAGCGACGACATGAAGAATCTCAACATGCTTACTACATTCCAACAGAGTGGACAAGAGAATAATTATTTTATTTTATTTTAATTATTTTTTAATATTTATATTAATCGACCATTAATTATTCGATGCAGGTGATTACTATCTTTAATACGTTCATATAATATAATTTCAGAGAATTTATTTGGCCACCTAATACCTAACCCCAATGCATCTGAAATTAATTAGTTAATACTAAAAAATATTTATTTACTGAACCTCAGGTCTAATGTTGACATTCTTTGGACATTTTCTCCACAATTTTCTCTTTTTATTGGCTACTAAAATAAAAATCCATTATGTTGACTTGGTGAGTTTATTATATTTGACGGAATTTAATTAGTGTTACATGTCGCATTGAATCAGTAAAAAAAAGTTACATAAAAATCAAGGATTACGCACACACGTGTATGAAGTTATGAATTATGATTATCATACTATAATAGCCAAACGTGACATATTTTTTTATTAATCTGGGTAAGTATAATGTATTATCTGTTTAGAAATAAATTCTTAATCTTTTAACGTTGAACTCTCATATTTCCGACATCTATAGTGCTCGAACACGAGTTGTCTAGGAATAACAGTAATTATTTTTACTACAGAGACCAAACGTGATCTTAAATTATCTTTATGGGGTATTTTACGAGATTGAAAAGAAAATATACGATAGTTGGGTCAGAAATTTCTGAAATTAATGACAATTAATTGATTTATTAGGATGAGGTATTAGATTGTTTAAACAATGTCAAATGTTCGAATTCTAGAGTTTACCGATGGAATAAATTAGGTTAGGAGGGTAGTTTTATAATAGATTTCTACAAAATCTGATATAGATTAATTGGTTAATAGATCGAATGTAAGTGATTAATCTAAAAAATATGAAATTCAGACAGCAGCAGTGAAAGCATCAGGAAACTTCAGGAATTGTTCGTTATTGGAATTATCGGGGAAGTGTACGATAATTGGCACTTTTGTCGCAATTGGTGTCTCCATTTTCACTTTATGGAATCAATGAGTCCGTGACTCACAATACTCATTTTACAAAATATTTTAAATATAATTTATTTTATTTTATCTTTATTTCGTGTCAATTTTTTCTTTTTATCTTTAAATCCAACTAAGCTACCTTTCAAAGCTAAGATTTTGGTTAGGAAATTCAAGTAGTATAGAAGCCATTCGGTTCTCGGCTGTAGCCTTAAAAGTTCCAAGTATTGTACCCAGGACATTCCTCGACTCCTAATTATAGGATATTGTTTTGTTGAGTTATTTTATTATCAAAAGTTACAAAATGGTTATCTGATTATAGGGTATTGTTTTATTAAGTCACTCAACTATTAAATGTTACGAATAGTAACATCTTATGATAAAATTCATTATGTTCCAAATTCATCATTTTCCATGAAAAACTAACAATAGTTCTAGCTGGATGTTAATCTACTATTTGAGATATGATAAAATATGATATTAGAATCTTAAAAGACTATCATATCTCAAACGGAATAGTAACATCCAACTCAGACTACGATCGACTTTTTAACGGGAAATGACGAGCTTGAAGCATAATGAATAGTCGAGTGAACATTTTATAACTTTTAATAGTTGAGTGACTTAATAACGAAACGTCTTATAGTACAATGATCATTTTATAACTTTTAATAGTCGATGACTCAACAAAGTAGTTTATTATAGTCGGGAGACCATTTGTGTACTTTACCCTAATACTTAACGAGTCATTTATAGTTAACATTTAACGGATGAGTTGACTTGGTAGTTAATAAAAGTAGTATAATTGTATATTTGATCCTTATTATTTTTTTATTTTATAAATTTATTCTTGATTTTAATTTAATGACATGTATTATCATCAGGTTAGTTGTAAAGTAAAATGAAGAATGATATATAGGTAAATTAAATTTGATAATTATAGGCAAAAAAATCTATTTATAAAATAACTTCAATCTTGATTTTACTTATGAAATTCGATTTAGTTATAAACACATTAAATCCACATATGATAGAAAATTTATCTACAACAATTTTGACTTAATTTTTATTTATGACATGTCACTAATTTTACTCCCCCCATGGAATATTTACAACTACAAGAGGACATGGTACCCTAGAAATTGTACAAGGTAGGACCCTTAAAAATATAAAGAATCCCATGCATTAAGGATTTGGTCACCATATACAGTTATAGAGGTCACATGTTTATTTGCTAGGAAAACTTTATACCATACACTTGTTGCACATTTTGCCTATGCACTTATTTTTCTACAAGAGTTTGTGATATTATTTGTAATAATATGAAACTTATTAGGATTCGCCAAACCCACCTAGAATATTTTCAAAATATTATTTTATATGTTAATTAATATATTTACAAAATACCATTATATATGTTAATTAGGATGCACCCCGATGCAGAAAAGAAACGACAATTCGACCCTTATTCTACAATGGCGGCTGCCTAATCATACAACTAATGTAATAAAAAGTAGTTGAAAATGTAACAAGAGAATGTTCTTTGGGGGCTAAAGTCACAATCTAAAGTAGGGGAAAAAAGATTGTAGCCTGGGACTGATTGGAAACTTACTAAACAAAGAAGGAAATGTTTCATACAATATCTAGCTTGGATTTAGGGGTTCATTAGTTGCATTTTTGTCGATCGATGATCGAAACCCGATTCTGTCCGACCTCATATTTTTCCCGGGTCGTTTGCTTGAAAGGCCTTGCCATCGAGCAATTATCTAACATAAAAATGAAAAGATGACAATTAATATCACGATGACGAAATATATCTAAGTTTATCTACCACGTTGAGAATCTATTGAGTGGCCTCTGTCCTAGTGAATGCTCTATCTAAATGATTTATGTTCAAGTAGTTGTCTCAAGGCAGTGATTAATCCAGAAATAATTTTAAGGTGTACAAGTTAATAATACAAATTTTTAGTATGTCCAAATAAAATTTCTAGTTGAACACAATAAATAAAACATATATCTAACCAAAAAGTTTTAAATTGAATGGTGAACATTTGTCTGTCCTGAATATCATATGCATCCGTCACAATTATAAGGTGTGTATAATTATCTAAAATGTATTATAAATAAATATTATCTTAAATTATTTAAATAAAATGAGATACTTTAAGTAAACCTATTACGTTAACAATATATAATATAATTTCCCCACGAAAAAATGGTAATAATTAATAAAATAAGGTGGGAATGATGAGTGATGCATGGCAAAAGAAGAAGAAAATAGATATTCTGGTTAGGGAAAGTAGATTATTGAGGGCAATACTCGTGACATTGTCAGCCCATGATTCTTTTTTCTTCTAAAAATTGAAATAAAAACAAATAAAGAAAAATAAAAACAAACAGACAAGAAAAGAAACAAAACACATATGTACTATACAACTCACGACTGTCCCTGCAAGACAATGTGTCAGAGAATTCAAAGGAACACGAGAAATATTATTTTATATATAAAAAAGTTAACCTAAAAGCATAATTACTGATGAAATTAAAAAGTAAAACTTTGAAAAATCATATTTTTTAGTTTAGATTACATACCTTTGTATTTTCTTCGTATCCTTTTCCTTTTTTTGTGTTTTTGGATTTCTTTCATCACTGGAGATTCCCACGTCCTCCGAAAGAGTGGTGGCTTGTCGGCGCCGTATTATTTGTGTTTCTCTCGGAAGTCAAGCTGCTCAATCCGATTCCTTCTTCTTGTTGTTGTTGTTGTGTCGCTCCTCCGGTCATGTTTCGAACAATTTGCCCGACTCCGAGGAAGTCACGAGTCAATCTATCTGACCCGCCGCCGCTAACATGCAAACTTGGCTGTTGCGGCGGCGGCGGCGGTGGCTTTTCATGTTCCATGCTAGTTCTGTTTGCATAAGTGTTAAATGTATTGACTCCACCGGAGCTTCCGAAAATGGGGGAATTACCACTGGCTATGGAGTTCATTAGTTCCTGTAGGTTGTTGCCGGAGGCGGTTTCCCCGAAAATGCTGCCGAAGTTTGAGGTTTTGGTTCTGGTTGAAGAAGATGTTGGGAAGCTTAAAAGAGAATTGTCTTTGTTGTTGTTGCCGCTGCTTGAACTCGAGCCCATTTGAGCAGCCTTTTGTAGCAATGCGGTGGCTGACATTTGCGGCGCCACCATGTTATTGTTTTGAATCGATGAACTAAACAAAGAAGGGATGTTTGAAGTGATTTGATCACTCATTAAGCTGTTCGAGAAGAGATTCGAGGATTCGTTTGCCCCACCACCGTTCCCGCCGTTATCGTTGTTGAAATTATCCGACATCAACAAACCCGAAGTCATATTATAATCTGCACCGCCATTGTTGCCGCTGTTCGAAAGGAAGCTAAGGTTGAAGAGACCGGCCGCCGACGGAGCAGCGCTCGTGCTGTCGCTGTTGTTCTCCTGAAACTGCATTAACCCATGGTTGAAAATCTGGTTCGATTCTTGCATGACGAAACCGGGCGAAGTAACCATCGGTTGTTGCTGTTGTTGTTGTTCAGGTCGAAACGACGAGGAAGAAGAACCCATCGACGGCGGAAGTAGATGATCAAACCGAGAATTCCTCGAACCACCGCCAAGTATTAGAATCTCACCGGTTTGATTATTAGTGTGGTCTTGAATAGATGAAATCTGGGTTCCCACTTGAGATAACCCTAAGTTCATGTAATTATTACTACTACTTCCATATAAATGGCTGCCGATGGAGTTCAAAGGCGTCGGGTGCCTTGCAGTTTCTTGAGCCAATGCATCACAGAACGCCCTGTGAGTTATAAAGCTGTCACGTCTGCAAAACAAAGAATGTTGAACACATCACTGGTCTTGCCTGCCATGTTTTGAACATCAAATTATAGGTTTTTTTTAATGTTTTTCTTCTCAAAGATAGAGAATTTTTCACTAAGAACTTTGAAAATGATTTAATAAATTTTGAACATAAACTACCATTTTTAAGAACTGGGTGTTCAATAAATGCAACGAGAGAATGTATTCAAAGCAAGTGAAAAGTGATCAATCAATGCAAAAACTGATGGGAATAATGCAACTGAATTTCCCAGTTATGAACATCTCATTTTCTAAAAGAGAATATGAAAAACAAAATCAGATTTTCACTAATTCTATCCCTTCCCCATGTTTGAGACTGCAAATTTCCTACTTAAGAAAGCAACGAGGTATAACTGTGTTTATGGTTCTGTTTCGACTTAATATTCACCGTAATCGACACCAGGACCACGATAAATATTCGTAACACAGTGTAACAGTCTTATCGTATGGGTAAACACTACATGGTTTAAAACGATATCATGAGAGAGTGGATAACTGCAAGAGCACAGACCTGAACATGTATAGCCAACCCACAAGAGAACAAATATGGTAACAACAACACATAGAAACTATACATGGCAAAGCATCACGTGAATAGGAAGGAAAAAAAGTTAAAAAAATGAAAAAGGCGGTGGTTCCAAGTACAATCAAAAGATGAACTGTTTCAATTTCCTTCTTTCTTTTTCGTTTTTGAAGATGGGTTTAAGCTTTAAATTGGATTGACGAAATTGAATTCGGCATACCTTGAGAAGAGAGTGCCACAGTCACATCTGTATTCTCTGGTGCCACACGTCTTGGAATGAGCTTTCCAATCCGATTGCACGGCGTACCGCTTCGAGCACTTGTCGCACTTCCATTTCTTCTCGCCGTGTTTTCTCGAGTAATGCTTCTTGATGCCGGTGAGGTCGCCGAGTGCCCTCGATGGATCGTGGTGGACGCATGTCGGTTCGGGGCAAAGATAGACCTTCTTCTTCACTTCTTTATTCGTCTTCTGCTTCAGCTTCCACGGCAGATTGTGTCCTCTCCTATGGAGCTGTAGATTCTGCTCCCTTTGGAACCCTTTGTTGCACACCTCACAAATGAACCTGTTTGTCGCCATTAAAGTCTTGGGAGATAGTGCCACCACTTCCGCATCTGGATCTGTCGTCATAAACACAAAATTGTCATAAAAAAACTATCAGAACGTAGGGTTTTCTGAAACTGGATACTTGCTTGGGGTTCCGGGTTGGTTTCTCTTTTTCTTCTGCGGCGGAGGGGACGGATCAACCGGCGGTCCGGTTGATGTAATTGTTGTTGAAGAAGAATGGAGGAGTTTCATCTGGTTTTGATTTTCTTCTCTAACTGCAAAAAAAGGACCTGATGAAGATGGTGCAACCGCCCTTTTTAAACAAAAACCTGACCTTCTGGAGCTGCTGTTTATCTTCTTCTCCGAATTCCAGTTCTCAGATACGATATCTCCTCGAAAAACCCATTAATCTAACACCAAACCCACTTTGGAATCTCATCTGGAAAAAGCCAAAGGTTTATCAAACTCAAAAGAGAGGAAAGGAGGGCAGCAGTAACAAGAAAAATCTGCCGCTTTTAAATGCCAAATTGTTTTGTTTTTGCTTTCCCTTACATGGTGTCATGCAGAGATACTCGCACATATATCATCATCTCGAACCAGATTTTCCCTTGTTTTAACTTCTAGCCGATTGGCTTTGGTTATTTTCTTCCTCAATTTGCAAAATCAAAATTAAATGCAAGTTTGAGAGATGAAGAAGAAGGGTGAGGGGGTAAAAGAGGGTCGGTGGACCCAATCCATTAGACGGAAAACGACATGGGATGGTGCCATCACCATTTCTCCAACTGTTAGAATTATATAGAAAAAGCAAAATTTAATTATATTGTATAAAATACTTTATTAGTCTTATCGAAATCGTCTTCCAATGGTTCGAATATATTAAATCTACGAAGAATTCATCTTATGATTAAAGTCGTTATTGATCATTTCGAATAAAATTATCGAAAATCATGATAAAATTTGATTATGATTATTATTTTTTTCATTTGAATATGTATGTATTGTAAGATACTTTTAGAACTTAGGGTAATATAGGTAGGAGAGCTTAACACAAAATCACAAGCAATAGATTCCAACTTTTTTCAGGTGAAACTAAAGCTCTTGAAACTGAATATAAAAAAATTAGCTACCCTTATTCCCATATGTAATGAGGTAAGGGGGAGGTATGATAGTAGGATGCCCCCAACGTCAGGTTAAGAGCAGCTTCCGTGGGAGACCTCCGAATTATGAAATACCCTCCGAATATAAAAAAACTGAATATACTTTTGCTATTGTTTTTAGGGTTAAATGTTCAAAAGGTACTAAAACTATTTACTATCATCATTTTGGTACATGATGTTTTTATAATAGGAAAAAAATCTTGATTTGTGAGATAAAATAATAAAAATATGGACCAAGATGTCACATCAAGAATTGAGAAACGACATTTTTATCATTTTATTAAATTTAGGAGATTTTCACACACAAAATATGTGGAGCAAATGGAAAGACCTAATCCAACCACTAGAGATAAATAAAATTTGTCAAAAATGGTTTTAAACTTTAAATAATAATTCATTATCCATTATCAAAAAAATTGGATGATTTTTAACTCTCATTAAATTTATGATTTTTTATTTAAATTAAAAAATTAACTCAAAAAAATAACAACTAATTATAGAACCGAATTCTCAAAATTACAGAATTTATACCATGACAGCTATATAACATTTATTTATTTTACTCAAAAAGGAAAAATAATAGCTTTCATTCTTTAAATTAATGACAGGTTAACTACTTATTACTCAAATGATTTGATGTGGCTTTAATAATATTTTGGGAGGATGGTAATTATTTTAATTTATTAGGATTTAAAGCTCTAATTAATTTCAACCCCAGATATTAAAATATGATTTATTAGGAAATAAATTAAGGCTGCTTTTTTATATATATAATTTTTCATTTCCATAAAAGAGAAGCGATATTAAAATATAAAAGTACAGTTAACAAGTTACCTTTTAAAAATAATTAAAACAATTTTCTATTAAATGTAAATATCTAACATTTAATCATTGATGGGTTCTTCAAGCTCTGTAATATTTTTCTTACCTAGCTCGCCATTACAACCACAAAAAATAAAAATCAAAACTATGGGAACTAGAGATTTGATCTTACTCCTCAATAGATGAGTTCTCGAAATTAAAATATTTAATAATAATTTTTGGATAATAGGATTTTCGATTTCGTAGAAGAGAGAGAATAGGCATAAATAAAAAAATTAAAGTGTTTAGAAATAATTTTGGGACATAAAATTTATATTGATGTCACGTGTCATACATTTATCGGGTAAATTTTTTTAATAAGTGTAAGAGACAAACATAAAAATATGAATGAAATACAACATTTAACACATACTTTGGCCCAAAAGAAATAGGTATATAAAAATATAATTTGAGTACTTATTTTATAATTAACTCAAATGAATATCATGATAATAGTACATTGACAATTGATCATATTATAACTCAAACAAAACTTATCTTAACAAGTTGAGATGACTATACAAGCATCTGTCTAATATAAGAAAACTAACTCGATGACCCAAATTAGTTGTAGATCAATAAGATAATCAATTAAACACTAACTAGAGAAATGATATCGAGTTAAACCATAAAAAAAGAGAAGGTAAATGTAATACCCCAAATTTTAGATAGTGACTAAAATGTAAGTTTTGAAAGTTTGGTGACTAAAGTAAAAACTTTGTAAAAGTTTAGTGACAAAAATATAATTTTAAAATTTTATATATTTTAGCCCATTAATGAACAATTTGGCTTAAAAAAGAACTTTCATAGTTATCAGATTTTTGGTACGAGATTTGTGTTAAAATCTATAAAGCGATAAAGTTTGGCATCGAAATCAGATAATCAGAACAAACTGGAATTTTACGAAAATTTGAACGATGTTAGATAATGGTTGGAAATATTATTTCTATATTTCAGATAAGATAATTTTAGCTTAGATCAATGTAATTTTATAGATTTGGTCGAACAGTGGGATTTTAGTGACTAAAATGTGAATTTCAAAAATTACATGACTGAAGTAGAAATTTGAAGCCAAGTTGATTCATCTTTGACTAAGGAATATTTTAATGGAAGATAATGTAATGACATTTGGTAAATATCAAGTTTCGTTAATGGTATTGGGGGAATTCTCAATAATTAAATTTTAAATTCAATTATATTAGTTTAATGAAAAGTGTATTAGTTGTTAAATACTAGAAAAATCAAGAAATTAAGCATACTTTTCAGCTCTTGAACAAACCTTGGCCGAAACTTCATTGCTTCATAAGGTGAGATTTTAGTTTTGATTTTTGAAGTAATATACTTGATTTTTGGATTAAGTTATTAGATAGAGAATTAATCTACATGAAATTCTCTATCATTTGGTACCAATATTTCATGGTGAAGATGCTTATATGTTGAGGTTGAAAGTTAGGGTTTATGGATTTTGAAGAATTTATGAAAGATTTTTATGTTTTTGATGTTGGAGATTAGTTCTAAAGCATGTATGATAATTAAAATTATTTGTACATGCATATATAAGGTTCGACCATACCTAGGTTTTTATGAGATTGATTGATTTTGGTTTAATTTGATGTTATGATGATTGGAATAGCATGAATTTGGTGTTAGGAGGTTGGATTCATGCTTGAAATTGATTAAAAACCTTGTCCTGAAGTCCTATGTAGGTTCGGCCATAGGGAGGAATTTGGGGGGGGGGATTATTGAAAAAAAAATTATGCTCTAGAAATGATATTAGAAGTGTTCTATGTAATTTGGAGATCAATTTGGATCAATTTGGAACCTTGAGATAGTAAAAGGGCTAGTTTACAAGTTTTAATAATTGCGGGACATTATTGTAAAAATGTGATAATTGGGGTGTCCGATGTTAAATGTTAACATTGAAATGCTGGAAATTTAAGATGGAAAGTTGTTTGGAACCCAATTTTCGAAGTTAGTAAAAGTTAAAGGTTGAATTCGAAAGGTCCTAGAAAATAGGGACTTGATTGTAAGTTTTTAAATGTGAAAGTATCATTTGGGTAAATTAGAACAATTCTGGAAAAATTTAGGAGCATGCAAATTTTGGGTTTAATTATTTAAGTTTGGATCAAATTGCAAGTTTATAAAGATTGGAGGTTGAATTCCAAAAAAAATCTAAAGAAGTTTAGGGTGAAATTGTAAGCTTTTGAATGTTTAAGTGTTGATTTGAATATTGTATTAAGGTTCTGGAAATTTTATGTGATTAATGTGATATGATCGTAATAGTGAAGGGCTATTATGAATTTAATGGAAAAGTTGAGGTGAAATCTAGAAAGAATTCAAAATTAGTGATTTGATTGTGTAATTGGAAAAAGTCGAGGGATTAAAGTTGAAAATAAATATTTATGAAAGTTAAAGAGTCTTTTTGAGAAGTTTTAAATTTTGATGAAAGCATGACTTAATTTTGTATCGATTAAGTATTGATTTTTATTTTATAGACTTTTATATTTTTAAGTTTATATTATGTTAATTTGATACTAATATATATCTTGAATATGTTATTATGTTATGTTGTCAGACTACGATAAATCTAGTGATTCAAATAACCCGAAAGGAAAGGACAAAGCACGTGATTAGAAACATCGCGTAAAAGGTTTAATAATAAGGCAAAGGTGAGTGCAGTTTATTTATTTAATTACTCTGATCGAGGACGATTTGCGATAAGTAAACCTCATGTTATTTTATTTTAAAGGTATGACTTATGTTTTAATTATGGATTATTTCCATAATATTTTACTAAGTTTTATGAATGGTTTCGGTATGAACTGCCCATGTTATATTTTACTACTATGATTTGAAAATGATTATGATTTTGAGATAATGTTTATTAAATGATTATGAAACGAAATAATAGCCCATTGTATATTGCATTGAGAGTTATAGGTACAATTGACATACCATGAAGTGGAGTAAATATGGCTCTGATATGATACATCTATGTATAATATGTGTAGCATAGTGGGTGCAAATGTTATGATTGCACTTGGAGTGTATAGTCTGATTTTAATGATAGTATTAAAGTACTTATTGTGCACACTTGTATGACTCACGTACCTTGCATTCTCTTAAATACACTTTGGGCTATGAAAATGAAATATGAAAGTTCTAAAATGTGTCATAACGAAAAGGAGCGTTAAATGATTATTCTGCTTGATATTGTTTATTATGATTTTGAGAAAATCATAAGATGGTTCTTTACAGGTTTCTTATGAAGATATAGAATTAGATGCTCAATTTGAACGTTTTAAGATTTTGTCCGAATTATTTTAAATGTTTTAATATATTTACGATATTTTATATATTTTGTCTCACCTTTAATTATTACAGTCTCAGTGAGTTATACTTAGCGCGTGATGATTTTTATGTCTGATGGAGATACGGACGTGCAGTGAGGAGTCTTTCGAACATCTTTTTGAAGATCATCTATAATATTAGTATCAGTAAGACATCTTCATTGTTACTTTTGACTAGTAGTGACATATATATTTATGTTATCAGTTTTATTTAAATGGTCTGTAATAGTAAATTAGGACTGTTTTATTTTGACTAGTCTAGTTTTATCAGTAACTATAAAATGGGTATATATATAAGGTTATATTTAATGGGTAGAATATATATATTATTATGTTTTAAATGGTTTGAAAACTTAAGCAGTTCTAAATAGTTTACGATAACACACTAAACCGTCTAATCAATGCTTGAAAATGAATTTGTTTTCTATTATAAAATATTAACTTATAATTTTTATGCTAATAAGAAAATAGTTTTAAAATTGAAATATGAATGTTTTAAAATGAAACAAAATTTTAAGCATTTATGTTCAGTAAATGTTGTTAAGTTGATGTAACATCTTTAACTTACATATCGAAACGTATATAGACTATGAGTGTTATAGGAAAAATATTACATGAGCATAGAAAACGTGCTACAAAAGCAAAAAAAAAATCTATTATTCTTATTAGAAACGAGATTTATTAAATAAAATAACACAATAAATATTCACATATGTACAAACAAAAAACTAAAGACATACAAAAAAACATAGAGAGAGAAGATAAAGGAAAACGCAACAAAAGTGAAGATAAAGTATGAATGACAGCTTGGTTAAAGACTAAAAACGTTTTTCTCGTAGATAATAAGAAAAATATTAAAAGATAATTTCGAAAATATTTCTCTTACGAAATCAAGGATTAACTTTATTTATTCTGCCCTAAAACTCGATTCTTAGGGGTTATTTGTTTGCCTCTTAATGGAATCATTCAGTGTTGAATGTTGAACCGTTCAACATTCAGCGCGTTTGTTTTGTACCTCTGAATGATTCAGTGCTGACTGATTCAGCAAAACAATGCTGAATGATTCAGTACAGAAGTACATTCTGAATCATTCAGAGACAATTATTAAACAGCATGTCACATTTAGAATCAAACCATTCAAAGCTTCTGAATCATTCAACGTTTAATCATTCTGGAGTAAATAAACAGTATCTTAATTGTTTTTCTAGTTGAAGGCTTAAAAGATTTTTCAAACTCTCTTCAATCAACAAATGTTTAACGTAAGTGATAAAATAGGCATAGTGTATGTAAGTAGGTATCGACCTAAGCGGATTAGCGGAGGTAATAGTCTGTTTTCTTTATTATAAAATTTTATTTGTCCCCTTAAAGTTTATAAGTTTAAAAATTTTATTTGTCCCCTTAAAATTTATAAGTTTAAGTTCGTTCTCTTTAACATAAAATCTTGAGTCCTTACTCGCATACATGTATGTATATTATGGTTCCCTTCCATGTATGAGGAAGAATCCTTCTCCTTTTCCATGCAAATTTCCTGCTACCTTTTAACCTATTTTTACAATAAAGCTAGTCTTTTTACGGGGTTTTCTTTAATTCAAATATCACCTTTAAAATATTATTTTTTAAATTAAGACTTAATGCCGAAATAAATATATAAATTATACTTTTTTTTGTTAAATAAGTGTCTATATTTTTTAGCTCACATGAGTGTCTAATGTTACAAACGTTAGCACTTTAGGTATCCGGACCGTCAATGTCGTTAGTTTTCTCCGTTAAGGGATACGTGTCACAACATGATAATTTTAAATTTTTTTATATAAAATTAAAAAAATAAAATTATAGTTTTAAAAAGAAAACACATAAATTTTGAAATAACCCTTAAACTTTGAAAATCTTCATTTCAACTCCTAAACCCAAGCTGACTGTTGCCCTTTGCCATCGAAGAAGCTCTACCCAACCTCCCCTCCCCTCAGCGACCAAAACCCTATGAAATCGTGATTGGTTGACGGCAGATCGATGTTTTAAATCCCGCGAACCCTATAGTAAAAATCGTGATCCCACGCGATTCCGATGATGAATCGGCAACAACTATTGTGGTATACAACTAGGATGATGGCAAGATTATGTCGACGGTGGTGGTCATGGCCAGAGAAGGCGACAACGGTGGATTAAGGTTATGATTTGAGATTTTGGGGTTGTTTTATAATATAATAAAAGTTAAGGTTTTTTATAAATATAATAATATTTTTAATATTTAAAAAAATAAATTTCAAAATTACCAAGTTATGATACGTGTCACTTATAAAAAAAAAACTAATGCCGTTGACGGACAGGACACCTAAAGTACTAACGTTTGTAGCTTTAGGCACCCAGATGGACAAAAAAATATAGACAATTTGACACAAAAAAATATAATTTGGGCACTTATTTAGACATTAAGACTTAAATTAACATTCATTAAAACTTTTAAAAATTAAACTAAAATGAAAGAAAGAAAGAAAAGATGGTTCAAAAAATATATAAATTATACGAATTTTGTCTAGAGAAGAATAAACATGTGGTGTGTATCAAAGACATGTATTTATATGAGCATAGTCGAACGAAGGCAGTGTCGCACATGTGTAGGCTCTGTCTTCAATCACTCTTTGAGTTCAGGTTTAAAAGGCTATATTTAAATTCTTGAAAAAAACTCATATTATAATAATGTGAATTTTGATAAGCGAATGACCAAACATGTTGCTTTGAATAATCAAAGACGTCTTAAATTTGATAGATTTATTAGGTGATTGAAGACAAGGCTATTACACTCATGCTCAAGCTAGTACATATGGTGACATGCGTATTCATGGACCACACCTGACCTTTTTCTAAGGGTTTTAGGTTCGAACTCCATGATTTACATTTCATATTTTTTGTGTATTAACTTACCAATAAAATGATGATACGTGCTGTCATTTTATTATCACATCAATTTTCTTATCGTGCCACATTACAATGTCTTAACCTAATTAACTTTAATGTCAGTGGTAAAAAAAACAAATTTAATTATATGAAAAAGTAATATGATTTTTTTAGTTGTTCTTCCGATTCTAAGATTTCGTCCTGATAAATCCTGACCCACCTGCATCCCACATCTAACCCGAAAAAAAACAGCCATTGATGTTGAGGAAGACACGGATGAGTCATTTGTGTTGGGCCAAACTCGGGTGTTTACCCAGTTCACTAAAGATCAAAGAGAAACAAGCCATTATAGCCCAAAACCAAACCCAATTTTGGAGCCCAATGGTAATGTTGTTAAGTCCAATCATTTTAATTTATTTAAAATTAGATTAAAATAACAAAATTTAATAATTAAAATTCATTTAGCGGTATTATTGCCTCCGTGATAGTTGAATTTATTGTATATAAAATATAATAATTAAAATTCAATATCATAAAAAAAGTTTTGGTTGCTCGTTTCAAGGATTTGTCCTGATTAATCTTATACGGATCTGGATTGTACACCTGATTTTGGTAGGCGAGTCTCCCAGCGAGCATTTTTTACATACACAGAGACTATTCCGAGACTTTACTTAAACGATATCAAACTGGTTACCACTGGAGCCAACCGTTAGATAAATTTTCAAATTTATGTTTCCCAACCAGACTGAAATGTGCATATGTTATAATGAAAAGAATACATCAATGTTTAAACAAATCAAGGCTTTTTTCAAGCACTAGATACACTTGCACTGATGAACATTTCTCGTGTAGACGATGTACAATTAAGACCACTATCATGAAATCAACATATAGATGACAATTATAATGAAAATTCAAAGCAACCAGCTTACGCCTTGAATATCTTTTGACGGTATGCAGCCTACACATATGTGCAATTCCGATCAATCTTTCCCCGGAGAATCGGCATGGTGGACGGATTTAAGACTGCGAGACGATAAAGAAGCTAGATAAATTAACCATTTTGAGGACAATGAGTGTGAGTTCAAACGCGGGGGGGGGGGGGGATTTTGATTTTTCAACTACCTGCAATTGCGAGGAACTCTCCATGAGATTATGGACTGGTTCTTCAAATCCGGAGGCAACAACGTGAAAGCTCTCCAGTCTTGAAGCATGATTCTGAGATCAATGAGCTTTCTATCCATGCCGGTACAGCAATTCACATGCATTGTGCAAACGACATTCAAGTCTCTGCTCGGTTCGCAGAGACCGCCGAAGTAGGCGGTATCCAAGAACCGAATCCTTAAACCGATGTTAGATATGAAAGGATCGAATTTGATCTTATTGAGAACGTCCTGGTCGTGATTTTCAGGATATGTTTCCCGGGAAGAATACCAGAACTTATAGAACGCTACCGTCCTGTTATTAGATTTCACATAGTTAAATCCCCCGTTTGGTCTGTTATTCATGTCATCCGATCTGCCTAAGAAATTGTCACATGCTATCTGGAAATCTGCATCCGGAAAGAACCGTGGGAACGGATCCCGGAACCACATGATATCGGCATCCTGGAGACATAAACCGACAGAAAACATTCGTGAGAACAACAAATCGAACAGACTCGGTTTGAATCGGCGAGAAAAAGAGGAGTCGGATACCGTGAAAACGAAACTATAACCCAACTCGAGGACGGTCCGGAGGAAATGGATCCTTCTCCACATCATCTTCAAGTAGTGCGGGGTCATGAAGTATGCTTCCTGATGAAAATCAACGCCATTGGTGACAAGAGCATAGCAATGCTTATGTACAGTGCGACAACGAGTGTATGCCCTCTGATCCAAGGCAACAATCACCAAATGGTCCAAAAGCTTATGTGTTCCATCTCCAAGCTTAAAGCTTTCAAGGAACAGGTCAACAATGGATCCCGGACTCGCCCAAGCATCATTTAATGTCGTTAAAATAACAGTCTTATTTACTGTCGAAGCGTTCTTCAAAATTTCTTCCAGTTCTAGCGTCGAATCCTGCAACAAAGCAGCTTTATATTGTGTGTGTGTATATATATATACATATATATATATTCAATGATATTTTTTGGCTTGGTTTTGCAGCTAAGCACTAAGAACAGAACATACGAATATTATGCGAATTTGTAAAAAGAAAATCAGATACCTACAAACAAACGGATAGGCACTATCCATTGTTATTCCGAGTAATTCAAATTGATTCATAATTTACACCAACATGCTAGATAGTTAAGAATGTGTACTCTACTTGTAACAAGAATAGAATGACTTTTTCAAATCGAATTGATCAGGAAATTATACAGTTAATCTGAATTTAATTTTCATTTATTCTATTTTTTTAATTAAAAAAGGATAATTAGGGGTGAAAAAAGAGAACTAACCGGACCGGTGGTGTAATTAAAGTAAGAAGGGAAAATGTTAGCGAAAGAAGAGGAAGAAAATGATCCGGACGACGAACGGAAGGAATTGATGCCGGCGTAAAGAAGAAAAACGGAGAGAGAGACGGCGGTGAAAATGAGAGCTGCACGGGGAATTTTCATCGGAGTTTCGGGAGACATATCGCCGGAATAAGTGGAAAAAGAAAGCGCAGCGACGGAGCTGAAGGTTGGAACGGCGCCTGTGAAACCTCAAAAAGTTATTTACAATAATAATTTCAAAGTTCTGTACTGTTTTTTGTTACATCTAATGAAGCCATTAAAACCGAGAATGGAAGAAGAAGAAGACGCAGCATGAAAGAGATTTGCTATCCCAGAATTTTCCGACTTCTCAGTTTATTAAAATTAAAAAAACAAGACTGGAGGAGCCTAGTCAACTTGAGTGAGTGGGACCCTACCTGATTATTTTATTTTTAACCTAATCAGTTATGTTTAAAAATATTGTTTAATCCACGCATTAGACGAGGAAACTGTAATATATTCACAATTTATTTATTTTTATTTGTTTGTTTAATATTAAATATTTTGAAGTAAAAAACCATACGTTTTATATTAAAATATAATTAGTATAAAAATTATTATTAGTATATTGAGATAAGGAAAAGTCTTATACTTAGGGGCTGTTTGGCAAAAGTGCCCCGATAATACTATAGGGAGTGTTTAATTCTTAAACTAACGTGCTTCCAATATTATTTTCTCATCTAACGTATTTTCTACAGTAATCACCTAAAGGCTCAGGATATCTCGACGTCTTTGGGCTAAAATTTTCATACATAGATTACTCCGTGTCTTTAGTTAATTTTTTTCTGCTTAATGTGCATTTTTTTTTACTAAAAAATCACATTTTCCTTAAATATTTACGTTTCAGACACCATTTGAGATAATATTCCCGATCTAACACCCTTTGCAGAAAGGCGCAGCCCATGCATCGCTTTTAAACTTTTTTCTCGACTATAAATACTCTTTCAACTCGTAAACATTCACATCAATCCTCTCAACTAGAAGAATATCGTCGCTTCAGTACAAATATCTAACATCATTGTTTCCGTTAACTTATACAGATTTCCATCCAAACGAAGCAGACCGCTTTCCATTTTATAATTGCAAAAAAATAAAATATTTAATTAAAATAATAAAAAATTAAATAATACAATAATTAAATAAAATACTAACAAAATATTAAATATAACAAAATATACCTTATAAATAAAATTTGAACGAGGTTTGGTTTTTGATAGGATTTGAGAGAATTTAAGAATATTTGGTCTGATGAAAATAGTTGAGAGTGAGGTATTTATAAGATGGGATAGATAGTGTGAACAGTCAGTTAGGTCGGTGGGATGTAAGGTGCATGGGTCGCACCTTTCTGCAAAGGGTGTTAGATCGAGAATATTATCTCAAAGGGTGTCTGAAACGTAAATATATAAGAATATTTTACGGATTTAGTAAATTTTTAAATATTTTCTATAAAATTATTCATGCATTAAATTACACAATATAATTATGTCTACCAATTACCACTTGACAATTTCTGATGCGTTTTTAACCCTTTCAAAATCCTATACGTATACTATATTCTAGGATTTTGAAAAATAATTTTGTAGAAAGACGCGACACATTCACCGCATAATATTTTAAAAAATAAATATTAGCTATAAAACTTTTATAAATATTTTTCAAAATCTTATGCGGTGCATGTACCGCACCTTTCTATAAAATTATTTTCAAAATGATGATGATGATGATCCGTAATATTTTATAAAATTATTAATATTTTAAATTACTTACCCTCAAAGTTTTCCTAGAATATACTACATGTATAGGATTTTGAAGGGTCAGAAACGCATCAGGAAGTGTCAAGTGGTAATTGATAGATATAATTGTATTATGTAATTTAATGCATGAATAATTTTATAAAACGTATTTAAAAATTTGTTAGATCCGTAAAATATTCTTAAACAGTGCCTAACAAGTAATTAATTTATGTTAATGTGATATTTGTATAAAAACACCAATTTTTTTCTTGGATTTCAATTGAAGACGCCTAGAAATCTCAAAAAATAATCAACACCATTGAAGACGTCGAGAGATCCCAAAACCTTGTAGAAAACACCCTAGATCAGGAATTAATCGGATAAGTGCATTAGATTGGAAATTAAACATTCCCACATACTTATTTGGGCACTTTTGCCCTGTTTGTTTGTCTCTTAATGGAATCATTCAGTGTTTAATGTTGAACCGTTCAGAATTCAGCGCGTTTGTTTCGCACCTCTGAATAATTCAGTGCTGACTGATTTAGTAAAACATTGCTCAATGATTCATTGCTATTATCAAATAGCATGTCACATTCAGAGCTAATTCATACAGAGTCTCTGAATCATTCAGTATTTAAATCATTCAGTGCTTAATCATTATGAAATAAACAAACAACCCCTTAATCTAGAAAAGAAATCCTACACGAAATTTCTAGTTTATAAATCACTACATTGGAAATATAATTAATTCATCAATTATTTAACCGAATAAAACATTAAAATCTTCAGATAAAATTTAAAAATTCGAAATTTTAATATTATAAATAAATTTTAAAAAAATTAAAATAACATCTGCTGTGTTTGAGAACGAGGATTAAAAAAACGATAAATAGAAAAGGCGGCTGATGGAAATTAGAGGAAATTTTAGTTTTTAAACGGCCGACACTCGTCAAAAAGTTACAAAACCTTGAGCTGCCTGTTCTTAACAATGACTGCGGGATAATATAAAGGGTAAACTACGTATTTAGTGTATAAATTATTAGTTTTTGTTCGTTTTAGTATTTAAACTTTTATTTTTTTAAACTATACCTAATGTTTAGGTTTTATTTCATTTTAGTATCCCACCTTTAAACTTAACATGTTTAGTACATAGATGATCATTTTTTTGTCCGTGTTAGTATATAAACTTTTAATCTTTTCAAAAGTTAACATTAAATTTTGAATCAAGTACTAAAATAAAATAAAAACTAAAGTTTTTAACGACGGGGTACGAAAATGAAAAAAAATAAAATTTATGTATGGTTTTAAAAAAGATAAAAGTTTCTATAGTAAAATGGATCAAAAATGATAGTATATATCCAAATGAACAATTTACCCTAATATAAAAATCAATTGTTTTTAGTGGTTTTTTCTTTCCCTATTTCTAAAATCTTTTGTTATGTAGGATAATTCATCTATTTATGTCATCTATTTATTTATTTTTATTTTAATCATTTAACTATTTTTTTAAAATTATATCTTATGTTATGTTTTATTTTTATTTCGATCACATATCATAAAAAGTTAATGATAATATTAATGTTGTGATTTTTTTAATATAATTTTATTCGACCAATCACAAAAAAAAATTAAATGTTGAGGATAAGAATCGATCCATAACCCTCTTATAAAAAGTCAAATATTTAGCCATTCAACTAAACATATAATTGATAATATTTTCACTAAATTTGTGTTTAAGCTATACAATACAAACTTATCACTTTATTGGTTGAATGAAATTAATTAAAAATGACTAAAATAAAAATGAAATACAATGTAACGTTAGGCACTTAAATAATCAAAATGAAAATAAATGATTAACGAAAGAGATCATGTATTATGTTATTTATTATTCATTTACTTTTTCCTCTTATTTATTTTTTTAAAATTTAATATGTTTTTCTATATAAGTAATTAATTCTATTAAAAATAAAATGTCATGAATTAAAATAAATATTTACAATCATAATCATAAATTAATCATGTAATTAGGATATTTTTAAAATCATTGGCACAAAATTAGCAATTTAAGATCACAGAAAGGGTCATATAATGAAATATTAAAAAACATAACAAAAACTCAAACAAATATAGATATAGACAGATCTGTTTACATCGGCAAACGAACCGCAAAAGGGATCAAGCTATTGAAAGACTATCGATAAAATCACAAATTAGAGTCGAGCGACGTGAAAGAAAAACACTATCCAGAAGCCCAAATCAAGTATCCAAATCCATTTCAATGATCCAAAGTAGGGAATATCAGCATGATAATATATAAATGTCATTTTTATTAGTCGTGACGATGTCAAATTAACCCTTAAAAAGATAAATGAAAAATAACTGCAAAACAAAAAAAACGTGTCAAGAGAAAGAGAAAATTTTGTCATAAAGGCATACTTATTGAAAATTAAAAAAAAAAAATTTGATATCAAAATATAAAAACAATAAAAAAATATCGACTATCAGCAATCAACATCAATGTCGGTATCATTGTCAATCAACACAGATGAAAATAAGAGATATAAATGACACACCACAAAAAATAAATTGAATACATATAAATATAAGTGTGTGTTAATTATGATTAAAAGTACGCTAGAGAGTTCAATTACTATTTTCATTGATAAGGGGTGTTCAAATTCGGATACTTGATTTTTGGGTATCCGATCTTTGGGTATTTGATTTTTCGGCATGTATCCCAACCTAGATGTTGCGGGTACCAGGGTTTTATGGGTACCCGTAATTCGGGTAATTGAGTACCTTTTTTTAATTTTTAGATTATTAATTTATTTTAAAAAAATAAAACTTATATTATTAAAAAAATTATATTAAGTATTAAACATACAATTATTGGGTGGGTGTTTTTTTTTAATTTTATTAGTTTAATTTAATATATAAATTTATTAATAATTAAATATGTAATATTATAATATATAAAAAATAAATATAATCGGGTATCCGGAAAAATGTAATTTTGTGACTCGAGCCTAACTCGATATTTTGCGAGTCAGGTACCCAACCCGTTCTTGTATTTTTTTTAGAAAATACCCATTTTTTAATTCAGATCAACGGGTCGACGTATCAAACCAACCGAGTTTGGTATTTTTGAACACCCCTATTCTTTGAGGTTTCAAGTGCATGTTAACTATGATATTTATTCTCTCTCTTTAAGTTTCATTAAATGATTCTAAATAGTAAATACATTAAATCAAAGAATTAATTACTAGGAACCAAATAGAGTGAAGTTAGAACTTATTTTCGAGCAATTGAAATTAAATTATATTTTTCTAATAAAAGTTAAAATATAATTTTGTTACCACTACATGTTATCATTTCTAAAAAGATTATATAAAACATTTATCAGTTTAGAACAATAACATATAATTTTAATATGCATTGATCTAAAATTTGTGATTTCCACTTATAGAAGTATTAATGAGTTATACGTTACCTCCGAGAAAAGTATGGAGAAAAATAAGAAACCAT